GAGCAAGCCAGGGGAAGAAGTTCTGCGTGGGGATGGAACTCCGGGTTGACTGAGCCACCTATCATGCGTGAAAGGTTGGGATACGCAAGCTCACACTACTCACAGAACATCGCGCAGAAGAGGGAGCGCAGAGAAAAACACTGAACTGGCGGTAGTAAAGGGACTGAGTTCAAGATGTCGGTAAACCGTGGATCTGGCACTTACTCGGTCATAGGGGAACCGAGAACTTGACTGCCCTGGATGGTTGTCCAAAGGGACACAAAGAAGAAGCGAAGGAAGCATAGGGGAAATGACTTGAAACAGAAAAAGAGCTGGCATGTAGCTACACGGTGATAGGTGGATGGATCTCTTCTACTCATAACTGTTCCTTTTGCGAACTCTATGGCTCAGGAAAAGCGCTCTGCACACTTCAAAAATCCATTTAGCGAAGTGCTATGGTAAAGAAGTTCTTGCCTTTTCATGGATGCACCGTTGTCCGGAGGTGTCGCATGTGAAGCCATTTGGACAGCAGTGCAGATGATCCGCACAGCAATTTGCTTCTACTGCTGGACAACAACCATACTTCCCACTCAGAAGCATACAGCAAGTACTTCCTAAATCAATAAGGGATACATGCCGAATATCGATCGAATCAACTGTACCTGAAGGGCATTTGCTCCGTCGGTCTGGACAAATAATTTCGTCTTCTTCCGTGACTGCTTGTGCTTTGGATTTCTTTCCCGGTAGGAATATTTCGCCCTGGAATGCAATAGAAACGTGTCTTACCCACAGTACTGTTCGCTTTGGGAGAAGGGGCTGGGATGGGTCTGGCGCAGCGCACATCACTGGTTGGGGATTTTGGTCGAATCCACACGATTCCCCTTCCCCCCCCCCTCCCCTGAAGATGGCTTGGATTTCACCTCCCTCCCTCCTCTTGATCCGATAGCCCTATCGAGCGAGAGGGTGGTATGTAGTACATATGAAACAGGAAAACCTACGAAAAATCAACTACCACTCTCAGAAAGCCAGAAGGCAAATACGAATCCCTCTGCATAGCCGTTTCTGAAACAAGAAAAATCAATATCAAAAAAGTTCTTTTCCCAGACAACGTACGACACCCTTCTCCCAGCGACCAAATGCGACCCCTTCCCTGTTGGGAAGATTACCCAACGATGATATTGCTCTGGCCTGGCGTGCGCCAGCCGGTTCTCTAACACGATCGCTGAGCGGGGTAGCAAGCTGCAACTGGTTGTAAACCGGGGTGGCCGACCAAACCGTTCACCTTTGGACACGACCCAACATCCGCAGCGAACAAGAGTACAGTTTTCATACGCACCAAGGAGACTGCGAACTCTAAATGCTTAAGCTTTCGAAGAACTCACATTTGATTTAAGGCACTGAAGTCCTTCAGGGTCACAATGTGTGCCCTGAGGGCAGCAGTGAATATGATCTTGACAGCATACTGCATTTGGGAAAGGGCAGCAACCCCATTCGCGGTTCTAAACAAAGGTTTATCAAGCTCAAAAACCGCAAATTACAGATCGTCAGAAAACCTACGCACCGGCAATCGACAGCAAGTGGTCAAATCGGGGCAAGTGGAACTTTCACCGCAATTGATTGATTCCTACAAAGGAAAGCTATGAAGAAGACTGTACTCTGCCAGTCAGTAAACTTCTTGAATCTCTGGCATGTCTTGTCCCTCCTCCTTGAAAAAGTGAAGAGCACCAGCAAGTTCGAGAAGGTTCTGATCGTTTTGGAGTCTCTCACGCAGTTCAGCTAGATGCGGGGAGCATTTTGCATTTTCGCTGCTTCCCATGGTCGTGTCTAACCATCAGTTGGAGATTTATGAAATCTTGTGAAGCCATGAAGTGACACCAGTCAGTTTGTAAAGATTACTTGTCGATTAGTATTGTGAAGAGTACCAAACAAAACTGTGTATATGGCAAGCAGCGAAAACACACATGGCGCCCCAGCTCGCTGAACTGCGCCGCCTTTCGAATGAAAATTTCACGAATCACAAGTTACTCAAATATAGATTGTCACGAGAATTTAGAACAGGGCCATGTCAAGGACAATGTTACTGAACTTACAGAAATAGCAAAAACGCAGACGATCACGACCAGTTGAGTGATGGAGGGCATGGCGATGACCGAAAGTGTCGTCTTATCTTATCGATAATTTGCTGATTGACCCCTCTGACAAAATAGCTGCCATTGGATGGCATCTAACGCAACTGTAAACATTTGGAACTAGGGCTGAGTTAGCAAGGCGTGTTGTCGTTTAATTGTTATTGACAGCATAAGAGTAGGGGTTCAAATGGTTGGTTGCGACGAATCCCCTTTAAACGAGCCACAGGCGATCTTTTTGAATCGTGCACTCCTTCCCCAAGTTTCCTGATCCTACCAGTTGAGTGAATCAAGCTCGAATTTCAAACTTTCCAGATGCCCCTCCCCCAATGTAATGGGGCGGGGCCCACACGCTTTTCGAATGTCGGGGCGTAGACTGTCACTGCCCACTTCACACTTTAA